ACCAAATCCCTTTGTTGGGGCTCCCTGACCCTAAAGTAAAGGAAGGTCTCAAAGTCACCTCAGCCCCTATTTCTGTTGCCTGATGCCTGCCTCATTCTCCAGTGAAACAAGCCATGGGCTCCAGAGTTGCCCTTTTCTAAGGCAGGCTGCAGAGACGAGACCCTTCCCCAAAGCCAGCCACCATACATGAAATCCCTGCCGCTCCCCACCTTCCCTCTCGGCTCCGTCAGAAGGGTCCTGTCCCACATCGGCAGTCACACAGAAGTCAAGAAGAGTCTGAAAGCCTCGCCCTTGCAGGGTTCTCCCCTGCATAGTTAGCATAGACACACTCCTTTTGTGACTCACACTCCCTTTGTATAATCACAGCTTTTCATTACCACGCTGTTTGGAAGGTAGGCATAGAAACAAATGGTTTACTCCAGGTCTGAGGTCTTCAGTGTGGACACTCTTCTGCTTCTGAAACTGTCCAATAATTGTCTTGTTTCTCTTAATGAAATGTATTTTTTTAAAAAAAAAGCAATGCAAGAGAGAAAGACACCATGCAACAGAGCTCACTCACGTGGAAGGCATTTTTATTGGAGGAATATGAATGGGAAAAGTGGGAGGAAAGGGGAGACCTCTGGGGAGAGGAGTGGTGGAAGAAAGAGAGGCAGAGAAGCAGAGAGAGAGAAAGAAAGAGTATTATCCTTAAACACACACACACACACACACACACACACACACACACACACACCTCTCCAAAGGCCTCCAGAAGGAAAACTATTCCTTCTGACTTTAGCCCAATGGGAGAATGGCGATGGATTTCTAGTATACAAAACTATGATATAATACCTTTTCTTTTTAAGAACCACCATTGGCCGGATGATGGTGGCACACGCCTTTAATTCCAGCACTTGGGAGGCAGAGGCAGGAAGATCTCTGTGAGTTCGAGGCCAGCCTGGTCTACAAGAGCTAGTTCCAGGGCAGCTAGGTCTACACAAAAAAAAAAAAAAAAAACCCTGTCTCAACAAAAACAAAAACAACCACCATTCAAGTCACTAATTAATTAGAGGCAAAGGCTATGTAGCTCATGCTGGTCTCACTCTTGTACAATCTTCCTGCCTCAGTCTCTCGAGTACTGGAATTACAGGCAGTCACCATACTCAGCTGTGTGGTTATTATAGAAGTCAAAGGACAGTAACACAGGCAACACATACACACACTCCCAACCTGCATCCCCTCGAGGATCAAGTCAACAAACTTCTCCCCCTGCTGTCATTTCTCCCTTTCTGAGATCCCAAGGTTAAATCTCCTTGAGCTCACTAGAACTGGCAGGTTAAGAAGGAAGCAGAGAGCTTGCCCAGTGATAAGCTCTGAATGTCACAACCTAGGCTGGCAGGGCTCTTTCCAAAAGAGCTGGCCTGCAGCCTGTGGCATCTTTTGTGGAAGCTGGATTGCACAAGAGCTGCTCTGCCTGTCAGGTAAAAAGTTAGAGTCCTTGTTTGCCACGGAATCAGGCTCAACACCTAGACTATTGTAAAACAAACAGACAACTAGCTGTGAAATCCAGGCAGAGTGAACCACAGGCCACTGCACAAATGGAACCTTTGCACACACGGGGCTTTTTATAGTACCTCACAAGTACTTTCCAACTGTCATCAAGGTGCTTCACACACACACACACACACACACACACACACACACACACACGTTTGTTATATAGCAACTGCCCTGCTCTTCAGGCTTCATTTAACGCCAATCAAGTGAACTTCCTTGTTCATGACTTCGCCATTTCTGATATGGGAACACAAGAAGGGCTCAGATCAAGTCAAATGAACCTGAAGAAAGGTCTGTGTTCTCTGAAAGCTTTTTCAGAGATCCAAGGAGGACACCCCCCCCCCCCGCCATGGTGGTGCTGGGCTCCATCAGACCTTCTCCTCCTGTTCAGGCAACTCTGGGGCTATGGACTGGGCTGCCAGCATTGCTAAGGGTGCTGGGCCGGGAGGAGCTTCAGTGTCCTGCAAAGTGAAGCAGCAAAGGTTTATAGGCCTTTCTTTCACTGATCATTATTCCCGAGGAGTAAAGAAATACCAGGGGAGCTGGGTGGTGGTGGCACACACACCTTTAATCCTAGCATTCAGAAGGCAGAGACAGGCAGATCTCTGTGAGTTTGAGGCCAGCCTGGTCTACAAAGCAAGTTCCAGGACAGCCAGAAACAGAAAAAAAAAAACAAACCTGTCTCGGTAAACAAAATACAAAAAAAAAAGGAAAGAAGGAAGAAAGAGAGGGAGGGAGGGAGAGAGAGAGAAAGAGAGAGAGAGGGGAAAGGAAGGCCAGCCAGGGGATAATTATGACAAGACCTTGAATTATCTGAAGTGTAGTTTACCTGTGTAAGTTGATTATTAGGAGAAATATCCTTTTAAAGAATGCTGTCAACGCTGTCATAGTTCACTCACTAGCAGGGGTCTTTGTTCCTCTTTTCTGTCCTGGTTTCAGAAACAAGTGTCATTTGAAATTAGATCTGCTAAGTTCGAGTTCTGCTGCCTAAATTCTGTGCTGGGGCCTCAAATAAATACACGTGTAGTCTTTCCTTCTGTGTGAAGAAGCAGCCACACCTCCAACAGAATAGAATGGAAATCTCTAACTATTTCAAGTTTTATCTTGAAATTTGGCCTGGAACTATGTCTACGAGGCTGGCCTTGAACTCACAGAGATCCATCTGCGTCTGTCTACCAAGTGCTGGGATTAAAGGCACATGCCTCCTTGCCTGGTCTTCAAGTTTTATCTTTCTGTATATGAAAATAAATGATAATAATAAAGGAATTTATCAGATTAATAAAATTGTCATGAACTTCCTGCCTTGGGGCACCTTGGGATATTGCTAGTGTCTGATGAAATGGTATATTAAATAATAGAGATAGAAATATGTGCACGCAGAGGCATTGAACCCAATGGTGAACAAGAGCTGATCAAAACTGTCTTCCCACTGGGACATCAGTGTCTGGGTTTGGGCAGTCAGGTGGTGGGGTCAGGTCAAACATTCATAGCCTGAAATTGCGCTTATGGTAGGAAATGGAAACGCCTTTACTGAAAATAGAATATAGAAGCATACTTGTTTATTGTTAAGCATCATATACATAGACATTCCTCATGGCCCAGGTGACTTACTAACTCCAGAGATGATCACCATCAACTCTTTGATTTAGTAATTATTTTCTACACACACATACATGCACACACACACACACACCAGGCAAGCTTTACAAAAATGATAGCATACTGTCTTACTGATTATTTTAATTTTTAAAGACTTAAGACAGACATTTTGCATAGGCTGTATTGATCTGGCTCACTATTCAAATGTGTAGGCATTTTAGTTTAAGGCTTGCATACTAACTTAGGTTAGTGATGATCTAGTTATGTAGGTTATGTAGACTGTTATGTAAGTTCCTGTTTGGTTTTTGCCTTCTCAGGTCATCAACTGCCCCCTTTCCTTTGTGCTTATGTGTGTAGCCCTGGAACTAACTCCCTAGAACTGGAACTTCTGGGTCTCTACCCAGAAGGCTTGTACTTTTAAATCTAGTAGCACGTTTCCTCTGGCAATGATGGGGAGGTCTCTGCAGCTGCCACCAACAGCGAGATCACTAATCTTTCAGAAAACTACCAGGAAAGATTCAGAAACTACCTTTTAATTTTGCATTTTTAACTAACTATATTGAATGTCTTGGGATTTCCCTTTAGATGATTATTTCTGTAACGTAATACAGTATTTGAGATAAGCCCTTCCCGGTGTAATTGATAAGTAAAAAGTATCCCAACCACACAGCATTTCTAAATTTAGTTAAATCTACATTCATATCCACCCCTTGCCACGCCTGCAGACTCCATCAGAATCAAGTTCGGCATGTGTTTCACTGTGAAACCTGTCACATCCAGGACAGTCCTAGGCGGTCCCTTCTCTCTGCCCTCCATTCATGCACACTGACATCCAGAGAGGGCACACATATGAAACAAAGGACGCTGCTCGTCAGTGCGGCACACACAATGGTGTTCAGTTCTGTACATTCCCTGTGAGCCCCTGCTGTGCCTTCAGGGAAGACCCTGGCACAGTTCTCAGGTGTTTGCCCTCTGCAGCTGAACCCCACAGCCAGGTCCTTCACCCAGCCACCAACGAGAGACCCTAGCACCAACCACCAAGTTGGAAGACATTGCTGATTTTTAATTTGTGGGCAGACTGCTTATAGTATTTCCATTTTATCAACTGATTGTAGATGCAATTATATTAAATATTGGTAGGCTGTTTCCCTTTGAGGGAGAATTTACTATGCACCACGACTTATATGATTATTCCCACTTAAAAGGTCATCACTGTAAAGTACCGCACAGTCATACCTAAAGGCTTTTACAGAACTTCATACCCAGAAGCTTGAGTATCACTTTATCATTCCAGTGTTTGCCCAGTTGCCATAAAATTTTGCAAGGTCCCAGTGAACCTTATAGCTCTGTTATAATCAGACTTTGTATATTCAGATCTTATATATATGAATAATATGGAATAAAGTGCCACTTCATTTATAATAGGATATAAAAGGCATCGAGCACTCAGATTATTCTTTAAACTTGTGTAAAAGTAGGATCAACTATCACTGGGCTTGTCTGATTTGAAAGGAGGGCGCAGGACTGAATGACTTTAGTCATTGTTTTGTAGCTTTAGGAGACAAAGTCTATCAACTGAAATTCCCAGTATAAAAAGTATGTCCAAGCCAGGCATGGCTTTGCAAGCTCATTACTCCAGCACCCAGAGGCTGAGGTAGGAGTAGTTGCTTTTCCAGTCCAGCCTGGGTTGGGGTACATGGAGAGATTGTGTGTGTGTGTGTGTGTGTTTAGTATATCCTCTCACAGATGTACATGGGCCTTGATGAAAACACCCTGGCCCTGAAGAACACCAACCGTTAAGAGTTGGGCATGTCTGTGTTCTGTGCTGCCTTCTCTCTTCTAGTCATTCTGTGGGTTCTCACCAGGTCCTGTCTGAACAATGATCTGGAGCCAGTTGCCAAGACGAGGGGATGAGTGGATGCTGCAGTGGCTGCATTTCCCTGAAGCTTCACGAGCTCAAGAGAAGCCTGGGAGGAGGGGCCAGTGAGGAGAGAAGATGTGAAGAGGATGGAGGAGATGCAGGCCAACAAGAGGCAACTCAGCCCTCAAACACAATGGTGCGCTGACATCCACTGTCAGTAGGGCCAAGAATAGAGTGGTGGTACGGAGGGGTGGTTGCAGGTTGTTAGTGCCCGAGAGGTCAGAGCCACAAACAACGCTCATTAAAGAAGGGACATTTCTGAGGACGGAGGTAAACTGTGGTAGATCATCCCAAAACTTTATTATTTAAGGAAGGAATGATGGCGAAAGTGAATTTTCTTTCTAACAATAGAAGGTGAGATGACCCCCAAGGTGACATTTTTAAGCAAGGTCTCTTTTTTGTTGCTGTTTTTTTGAAACAAGTTCTCTCTATGTAGTGCTGACTGTCCTGGAGCTTGCTATGTTCTTATGCTTAATATGAAAAGAGCGAAAAATACAAAGGGTTTTACAATTTAGAAAAATTTCCATGTTATATAGACTTAATTTTCATGAATTTAAGCCAGATGTTTAAAAATAAATTTAATTAAACTTATTCTTTATATAATACTTACTATCATATCAACCAAATTGACAGCTGCTTTTGAAAGGTAATAGTACCTAAGAGCTAGGCTGTATAAAGTAACAGATTGCAAAAAATTTAACAATAAGAAAAATACTCTCCAAAGATCATGAACCCTTCTACAATGTACAGAACTCTATAAAGGTAGAAGCCTGGTTAGGATATGACATCATGTCTAAGTCATCCACGTTTCCTCAGAGACTAGGGCACACAATTGCTAGCATTGAAAATCACAAATTAAAAAAAATCTGAAGAGCCGGGCAGTGGTGGCGCATGCCTTTAATCCCAGCACTTGGGAGGCAGAGGCCAGCGAATCTTTGTGAGTTCGAGACCAGCTTGGTCTATAAGAGCTAGTTCCAGGACAGGCTCCAAAACCACAGAGAAACCCTGTCTTGAAAAACAAAAAAACAAACAAAAAAAAATCTGAAGAAAATAGGAATCACATATGTCACAAAGAAAGAGAGGAGTCTCTGGGGCAGCATATTAAGACCACCGTCATATCAAACCACAGATGTAAATTTACAGTGATGCACTTCCTTCTCTAGTAAAGTTCATCATCTTAACAGTTGAACCCGGAAGAGCAAAAGAAAAAGCAAGATTTCCAAAAACTATTTTATTTTGAAAAATCCTTTTGTTCTCAGTAAGGAGAAGATTTAAAAAAAAAATCATTTGAACAACATTTTAGACTAGTTTGTCACAATCACACAACTCTTGCAATTTTAGTGGCCGTCACGAATCTACATCTCAGATGACACCATTGCTCAGTACTGTTTTTTTTTTTTTGATTTTTCCAAGGTTTTATTTGATCAGTGAATTTTTTTTAATTTATTTATTTATTAAGGATTTCTGCCTCCTCCCCGCAACCGCTTCCCATTTCCCTCCCCCTCCCCCGATCAAGTCCCCCTCCCTCATCTGCTCGAAGAGCAATCAGGGTTCCCTGACCTGTGGGAAGTCCAAGGACCGCCCACCTCTATCCAGGTCTCCTAAGGTGAGCATCCAAACTGCCTAGGCTCCCACAAAGCCAGTACGTGCAGTAGGATCAAAAACCCACTGCGATTGTTCTTGAGTTCTCAGTATTCCTCATTGTCCGCTATGTTCAGCTAGTCCAGATTTATCCCATGCTTTTTCAGACCTAGGCCAGCTGGCCTTGGTGAGTTCCCGATAGAACATCCCCATTGTCTCAGTGTGTGGGTGCACCCCTTGCGGTCCTGAGTTCCTTGCTTGTGCTCTCTCTCCTTCTGCTCCTGATTTGGACCTTGAGATTTCTGTCCGGTGCTCCAATGTGGGTCTCTGTCTCTGTCTCCTTTCATCGCCTGATGAAGGTTAATATTCAGGAGGATGCCTATGTGTTTTGCTTTTGGATTCACCTTCTTATTTAGCTTCTCTAGGAACATGAATTATAAGCTCAATGTCCTTTATTTATGGCTAGAAACCAAATATGAGTGAGTACATCCCATGTTCCTCTTTTTGGGTCTGGCTTACCTCACTCAGGATAGTGTTTTCTATTTCCATCCATTTGTATGCAAAATTCAAGAAGTCCTTGTTGCTCAGTACTGTTTTTATATAAGTTCAGTGGTGATCCAGGTATTGCTTTGTCAAAGCTCGTTGTTAGTAAATATTTTCTAAATATTTAGTTATGTTTTTCAAATTAGTGAAAATGCTAACATGAGATTCCTGGGCAAAGATACTACCCCCCCCCAATAATTTCAGTGAATGTAATTATAGGCAATGTGATAACAATTACTTCCTAAATTGATTTCTGAAATCGTAACTTAGATTTAATTTTATTATTTTAGTTAGATATTTGCTAATAATTACTGTCCACAAATATTTGAGATTATTACTTCAGTCAGGGTCAACATATGTGAAATGCTTGTTAGTCCTCAATAGACATCTTATCATGACCTTATTTATTTTGTCCACTTCACTGTTTCGGTGTCCCAGGAAAATGTAAATTCAAATATCATGTGAGCTTTTTATAAGTTAGCCATCCAAAATTTTGAGTTTTTTTTTTTAAATTAGGAAATGGACTGGTTTTGAAGACAGCTCAGTAGGTATCAACTTGACAAAACCAGTAATGTCAGACAAAGCAGCAGCAATATAACAGAGCATGAAATAAGGACAAACCCAATACTGCACTAGATGGTCGCGTAAGAGGGAAGGGCAAGTACTGAGCCTGCCTCCCGAGCAAGAGGGCCCGAGAATTGTAAAAACTAAATAAAGTACCTAACTGTGTTTTAAAATTTTCACTTGAGGTCTGGCAGTGATGGCCCATGCCTTTAATCCCAACACTCAGAAAGCAGAAGCAGGTGGATCTCTGAATTTGAGGCCAGCCTGGTCTATAGAGGGAGTTCCAAGACATCCAGGGCTGTACAGAGAAACCCTGTCTCAAAAACAAAAACCAAATTTCAGTTGAACACTGGCTGTCTTTCATTATTGTCATCTGAATTATTGCCTTTCCTTAGAGGCATATGGTCATCTCAGACATCAACAATCTCAGACATCAACAAGCATCCCATGTTTTGAAGATATCGTTTGTCTGGTCCCTGTTAAATACATAAGGAATGAACACAGATGTGGTAAGGACAATGTGGTTGTCACATAAAGCCAGAAGGGCAAAGGAGAAGTTTTCCCAAATGGGCATATCCACAGGCCGTGACGAATTCCATCTCGGATGTGGTGCGAAGCCCAGGAAATGAACAGCATCCACGGGAGGAAGCACCACGAGTCCCGGAGCCTGAAAAGGTGCATGGCCAGCTTCAGGCTCACAACTGCCACAGGTATCACGGTGGAACAGTGGAGGAAAGGTCTTCTCGGAAGCGTCAAAGCGGCCTGCAGCGAGAAGTAGCAGCTAGCATCATTTCCTTCTTTGCAAAATCTCACAGTTGCTCCTTACTATTTTAACACGACCAGCGTCAACTGGAAACGCCAGAAAACTATAACTCTGCAGAAGCACTGGACGCATGGTTTCCAGGCTGGTGTTCTCTTCTCACTCTATGCTATTCTACACTAAAGCTAAATTTTTAACTTAAAAAAATATGAGATGATGAAAGCATGACCATCATATCCTTTGCGTCAACAATAAAATGGAGGTCTTAGGAATGTGGAATTGGGACTGGAGAGATGGCTCAGAAGTTAAGAGCACTGGTTGATCTTCCAGAGGTCCTGAGTTCAATTCCCAGCAACCACATGGCAGCTTGTAACCATTTATAATGAGATGATGCTCTCTTCACGTGTGCAGGCAAACATGCAAACAGAACACTATATACATAATCTTTTTCATAAAAGGAATATTGTAATAATTTTACAAGCTTCCCAGTGTTTAAAAAGCTACAAACATAATTTATATCCTAAGTATAGGATTTGTGTAATTGGGGTTTAAGTAATATTTAAAACTAAAAACACTCCTATTTATTTATATATATGCTTACTTGCTGAGACGTCTTACCAGGCCTATTTTAAAGTTGTTTTCTCCCTGAGGTTGTTAAATTTTTCATATGTGTATCTGTGTGTAGGTATATGTATAAGCATGCAGTTGACCTTGAGGCCAGAGAGGTCACTGAATTCCCTGGAGCTGGAGTTATAGGCAGTTGTGGACTGCCACACGGGGACTGGAAACTAAACCAGGTCCTTGGGAAGAGCAATGGGTGCTCCTGACCACTGAGCCATCTCTCCAGCCCTATTTTAAAGCTTCTAATTGACAAATGTTTAAGAAGGACAGCGTGACATTTCCTACAAGCATATAATGTGTGCTGGTTGTTATAGAGTAAGGGGAATAGCTAAGACTTCAACAGTTATCGGTTGTTGTGTTGAGAATACAATCCCTCTTCACCAGCTGTTCTGAAGCAGAGATGAGCTGTCAACTACAGTGCTGTAGGCATTAGTAGTTTCTCCTTCTGTCCAACCTCACTCCTGAACCTGTGGCTCATCCTCGCCTTATCCCGTCCTGTTCTATAATTCGTGTTTCTAAAGAACTTCTTGGGACATCTAAGAGTACACACACACACACACACACACCACCACCACCACCACCACCACCACCACCACCAGCAGCAGCAGCAGCAGCAGCAACAACAAAATATTCCTTCATTAAAGCAGGGGAAAAGGAGAATATTTTTTATTACAACTGTTTCATAAAAGCCACAGATTCTTTCAGAATTTACTACTAACACTGAAAGATTATTTCAAGTTATTATTTTATTATTCCCTATGGTAAAGCTGAGGGAATAGATCCTTTACCTTTGTGGCCTCCACATACAGGGCAAAAAGCTAAAATTTGTCTTGAATCAGCAATCATCCCTCCTTGCTGACTGAGCTTCAGAGTCAGGTGGCCCTGCCGCACACTTTGTATGTGACAGGCAGGAGGAAGTGAGGCTTCATTCACCCCTCAGCAAGTATTTACTGAGCACCTCCTGGGTGGGCCAGGTAACCTCCCAGGCCAGTGGCTCACAAGGCAAAATCCTTGCTTTGGATCTACACTTCTTTTCTGAGATGTTTGTAAATCACATGCATACACAAAGGCAGGCAAATCTTTTGATAGTTAGAAAATATAATATCTGTTAATGTCACACATAGGAGATACACACAAACGGGAAGACATAAAGAGTAAGAGGGGAGGGGCTGGAGAGATGGCTCAGTGGTTAAGAGCATTGCCTGTTCTTCCAAAGGTCATGAGTTCAATTCCCAGCAACCACATGGTGGTTCACAACCATCTGTAACGAGATCTGCTGCCCTCTTCTGGTCTGCAGACACACAGAGATAGAAT